TCTGGTGGTTAGTAGCCAAATGCCTCACCCACAACACCACTGAAGCTTCTAATAATACCTATTACTACCAATAATAACTTCACGTGTTAGCTCTTTTGTTTGTTTTTTAAGCAATAAACATTTATTGTCTCACAATTCTGATGGCTGTTGTGTGTTGCGTGCTGCCATGTTGGTTCCGATTCATAATGGCACAACACTGCCTGCTCCTACATGAGCCTCACCGCCATTGCTAAACATCAGCTTTCTGACCTTGAAAATGACCTTACTCATTTTTACTTGATTTTGACCATCAACACAAGGACATTTTGCAGATGTCGGAGGGATTGTATAACCTATCATGTCATCATAGCCCATTTTATTTTTTAAAGACTTGTAGAACTGAACAGAGTAGCTCAGGCAGCTGCTATGGGGCTCAACTGGCAACGTAAGAAAGCCTTGTTGTGTTTTTAAAAGATGATAAAGCCTGGTTTGGAGTGTGGAAGTTTGTTGATACCAAGGGGCATGAAAAAATACAGAGGGAAAGAAGGTGGGAGGGACTCAGGACAGACTGGAAATCAGGACTGGATGCTGCTCCTTGTGGCACAAGAGACCAATGTTATGTGGCGTTGGGGCAACAGAGCTTCGCCAGGCTTGGCATCTGGAGCACAGTAACTTGAGCTTTGGGCAGGAGAGGTTCCTGTCAGGACAGACATTCTATTTTACAAAACCAGTTGAGCGCTTGTCTTGTTGAGGCAGTGTGATCATTTCATCCAAGGGGTGTCAAATGTGGACAACACTTGAGCAAGCATCAGCAGCTGTGGGTACTGCTGATCATCAAAAGGACATCTAAGAATGATGAAAGGGAAAGTCCGAAAACTCCTTTCAGTGAGGTCCACCAACCCTTCCTCGTTCATGTAACCTTTATCAGGTGGACTAGAGACAGCTGGTGGAGTTAGAGCCACATGTTCCAGCCTCGGGCAGGAGCGGAACTGTGGGAACTAGGAATTTGTGGACCTACATGCCAAAAAGCTAGTGGCAGGATTTTAGGAGAATTGCCATAAAGTGATGATCGTCATCACAGTGTAGCTGTGATAGCAGCAGAGGCAGCGGTAGTAGGAAAGGTTTACATACCTCTTAGACATATCAACCCATTTCGTTCTCACAGCCACCCTGTGAGATAGATTCTTTCACCACCCCTAGTTGATGGATAAACAAACTGTGGACTGAAGACATGAAAGAATTAGTCCGTTAGACATGGGCTTTGAACCAAAGTACTTAGTTTAAAGATTGTACTTTTCTTGAAGGTAAACAGGTGGCCATTTAGCTCAGAAGCAACAAA